ACTGAGAATCCTAAACCAACTAGCAATAAGGCGGGTAGAGGTAGAGGGAGGAAGAAGACGAAGTAGTCATGAAGATTCGTGTTTGAATGCAACTCTTTCTCACATGTTTCTTGTTTGAGTTCGACCATATTTTATACATTTCACATGTGCACTTCACATGTAGACTTTACATGTAGACTTCATATGTACACTTTACATGTAGACTTCTTTTTCATTGTCTCGTTTGTTGGATTTAACACCGCTTAATTGCCACGCATTGTTGCTATTAGAACAAGACAGCCGGGTCCTGCGAGAGTGACAACGATAAGGACGACAGCTGCGAGTTCGTGACGCAAATTACGCCGTCAAAAGCAGACACGATCGAGTATCTAAAAAAAAGGCAACCGAAGGACACGGCCAAGATTATGGATGCGAAAAGGCGGAGGACAGAGAGGATCATGACACTCGCGGAGTCACAAGGCGGCGCGTATATAGGTAATAGTACGGCCAAGCGTATAGTCCCTAACGATGGAGCTAGAGGACGTGGATATGATCCCTTCGCGCCATTGGACAAGGGGATGAAGAAAGCCATCATCGACTACTGCAAGAAGCTTCCGTAAGTTGACTTCACCTCCATATTTATATGTAGGCTTCGTATGTAGACTTAGTATGTAGACGATAAGCTTTTAACCTTATTGATATGATTTGTTATCAGTGGTTCTGGAAAGAAGAAGCCCATAAAAACTGCCAAGGATTATCCCATACGATTTTGGTGGTACGACCTTCTAAATCAGAAGGAGTGGCTGGAAGACACGGTTTAATACTAACCCTTCCGAAGGCTATGTTAAATTTCCTTGTAGACTTTCATTAATTTATCTAATCCAACATTCTCGACAATGCAGCACTTGAACGCAACAGTTTTTTTACTGAGGACATGTTTGATGGAGCACGCAGAGTGGTTCAGAAGTGATCGTATCTGCTTTGTGGACACATACTTTGGACACTACTGGAGTGCAAAGTACAATGAGTTCAAGATGGTAGAGGCTAACAAGAAGGGCGAAGGGAAGCCACTACCAACTCTATTGTGGGATTACTATAAAGGTGCACAACCAGAGCCTCGGCCAACAAACAAGATTTGGGGAATCGACATTGACGAACTTTACGTCCCTTTCAACGTGAAAACTAACCATTGGGTAGCTCTGCTCATTTCCTTGCCGAAGAGGCATATCACTGTATACGATAGTCTACCCCATCACGTGAAGCCGGCAGAGTTACATGTACTCTTAGAACCATTGGCGGTGATGTTTCCTTATTTGATGAGGACATTGGCTGACGAGGAAACGAAGTACATGTGGACTCTGGAACCTTTTACGTATGACCGGCCGATTGGCCAAGAGATAGTGCCACAACAGACTAACATCAATGACTGCGGAGTGTTCACGATGAAGTACATTGAATGCCACGCCCTTGGTGTGGAGTTCCCGCAGACGCTGTGCCACGCCAACATACCGGACATTAGATTGAAGCTCGCCGGTGACTTATACCATGAGACAGGGGTTCGCGGACCAAAGGAGCGTGACTGGGCGGAGTTGGACTAATCAAAGGCGATGATGTGGGTGGATGTATGTATTAGGTTTAGGTTTTCGGCTGACAATAGAAGGCTTATTTTGGACCTTCCGATATGGTTTAAGGTATTTTTTTGGCCAAACCTATCACGTAACAGGGTTTTTGGGGTAAATGGGTTGATGTAGACTCTTCTGACATTACTATTCGTTTTGTAAAGGTATTTCTGGCAAGGGATGCCTTAATGTATAACTCGATCAATGTAAACTTCGTATGTAAACTTCGTCTATTAACTTCCTTTGTAGACTTCAGCCTCACTTTTCTGCACTAATTGGGTTCATTGAAATTACGTGTAAAACCATAAGCCCGAGAACACATCGACTCTTATACGTCAGTTCAGTTGGCAAACTCTTATACGTCAGTAGAGCTGGCAAACTTACGCATACCCCAAAAATAACCCAAATACACTTACAATAAAGAAACAAGACTCGATAAGATGGGAGTGGAGATTCAAATGAAGACTTCAGCTGTAGACTTCATCTGCAGACTTCAGTCTGAAGCAGTCTTCAATCCGGAAAATATATGGTCTTACCATTAGGACATGTATTTCAAATTCAATATATGATATGCGTGAAGGAGCTCTACTATTATAAAGTACTTACACATTTTGGCCGAGTATGACCTGGTAACTTGCACTTGGAACATGTGTACTTCTTTGGCAACTTTCTTGGTTTGTGGTTCCTCTTCCGTGCCAGCTCTAACCAAGTTTGCCACCTTCATTTCTTTTTCCTGCCGGGTGTCGGTGCAGGCTCAGGGGGGAGACAAGGTTCCTTTTTAACGAATGAAAAGTTTGATGCTGAAGGATAGAGCTGATGCGCATAGGTAGCGTGGACAGTAATTTATTGTACGCTGGACTCACATATGAAGAGACAAGTAAGCGCGCGTCGTTAATTGCAGCAATGGCGTGCGAACAAGGTATCTTCTCCACATCAAAAACTCCGCAAGAACATGTTCGGAGTTCCAAATCTACATTGTAAAATCCTGCTCCAGACTTGACACTGAACTGCCAATCATCTATGCGCTCGACGTCCATAAAACCGGCATAATGCTCACGCACGGCTGATAAGTAGGATTTTTGTATCAACTAATCTCAATCCATACCACTCATGTCATTGTAGTATTTGAGATATCAATCCAAGTGGAGATCTAAACTTATCGAAATAAAGAAAAGCAAAGATCAAGTTTCGATAAAAGATTGAGTTTTGTTTTGTAAAGATCTGTGCTTTAAGCTAACAAGATGAAATAAAGATTTGAACTTTAACAATATAAGATAAAGGAGGCGTCTTGGGTGAGATTCAGTTGGGGTCGAACGAGCTCAACTTTCCTTTCTCAACAACACCAAGACTCAAACTTTGTGCTTAGACTTTGGATAAATCCGCCACTCTCGTGGTCAGATCGCTTTGCAAGCTGAGGATTGATTGCGGGATCAGGTCTTCCCTTTTCCTATCCCTGATTCTGCAAGTGCACAGATCAAAAGTAGTAAACGGGTATCGAACACAAGGAGCAGATAAGTACACTTCGAGTATTGCAAGTCTAATATAGCTAGAAAACAAGTATGATTTAGGGTTTTTGATTGTGTAACAAGTAAATCAAACAGCAATTAAACGGTTTATGAAAATCAATAAGGGAAACGCTAGGCAATGAGAAACTCGCAGAGATTCAAGGTTAACAAGATATTAGAAGGTTACTAGGGTTTGCGCTATCTAGAACTCAGGTCACGATTGTATGATCTTTCCACTGTCGAGGCTCCGACCCCTTTGTTAATCTACCTAGTCGCTAAACTTTTGGTATGTCCCTAGGTGATTAAATCAAGCAATAGTTCGTTCAAGACCCAATTGTTCACAACCCCGCATAGATCAACTTTCGCAGTCTATGAAGTTTTGCTCACCAAATACTTAGTTCAGGTTATATAGCAAGCTTTTGGAGAGTATATGAAACCTAAGATCTGATGCTAGTTGATCAGAAAAGCAAGCAGCAATGAATTCAAGCAGAGGCGAAGATGCGATATGATAAACCCTATGTGACTTCTAACAACCTATCAAACCATGAACTCTTTGATAGATCTCACAACCTAACTAGTGAATTACTCAGACATAATCAAAGCAAAAACACAAAGGAGATGAAGAAAACATGATTGCAATAAAACTCAAAGTATGAAATTGTAATACAAGGGCGGCTCTCTTTTCACAAGAGGCTAAAAAGCTATATATATAGTGCTAGGTCTTTCTAGAGGCGGCTTAGGGTTAAGCCGGGCTTGAAAATATGAAATCGGGCTTCAAAACGGGCTTCGGGTCGACCGCGGCGTTGGGACGGTGATATACCCATATCTTTCATGTTTTTATCAAGGTTTTCACTATGTTTTTAATACAAATAATGTGGTTTTTAAGCCCAAGAGGTAGTTTTCTTGTATATTCTGGTTTTGAGCATCATTCAGGTCAAAATAGCAAAGAAGAGTCCAAAATGGAGCAAAAAGAGTCAAATCACCAAGTTCCCAAGTCTAGAGCACCAAATCTACATTTCTCGCTAAAGACCAAACCGGAGCATCCGAAGTACGACCGCATATTCATGCCTTCCCGACGTCCAAAAGTCATGATTCTTATATGGAAAGATAGATATTTGAGTCGTGACCCGCGGCGAAGTGGAAAGAGGTCATTTGGATCACTCGTTGGACCGGAACTTATTTTCTACCAAGACATGTCCGACGAGCGCCTAAGTAGAGCCCATGGAGACTTTGATGGATCAAGAGGCCCGAGATACCGCGCCCAAGGCCTTGGCTCATCTTGACACTAGCATAACTCAATCCAGAAGCTTCCATTGGCCTGAACGCGGCCCATTCAAGAACTTGGAGAGCAAGCTCAAGCGGCTAAAGAGAAATGGAAACTTTCCTCTTCTGCGCGCGCTCAACTTTGCCGACCTAGACCCGCTCTCTACCTATATATACTTGCTTTTAGCCTCTTGTAATAAGAATCACCAGCCGCATAACAAGAAACACTTATTCAATAAAGTTCGGAGCCACTTAGGTGGTCTCCTTCTTCTTTCTTTTCTTCTTTTGCATTTGTATATAGCTTGCATGTTTCAATTTATATAGTCTAGAAGTAGAGATTTCTCCCTAAGGGTGAGGCGTGGTTTAGTCATATTCCGCCGCCTCTCTCTCTAAGGATTCATGAGACTTCATCTACTATCTAAGACTCATTGTTGAATTATGGATCCTTCCAATGAGGACGTGATATAATGGCCATCGAAAATCGATTGTTAAAAGGGGAAACCCTATGGTTCTCCATCTTTATTTATGCTTAATGCTGTTGCTAGAGTAGCTAACTAGTGACTTGATTTTAGGTTGATATACTCTCCAAAAGCTTGTTATATCTCCGGACATAATATTTGATGGGCAAATCGTTTTAGGCTACGAAAGTAGACCTAAAGAGTTTTGTGAACAATCATTACTTGGATGTAATGCATGTCTCACTCTACAATGACCAACGAAAGCTGAGCCCATTGGTTTAAGAGACATAGGGGATTGGAACCACGAAAGTGGAATAATCCTTCCTTAGTGTTTTGAGTTCAAAAGAATCGGATTTTAACAAACTTTTCAATCGACTTGGCTCATGTTTTCAAAAGAGTTTTCAATAGTTCAATAATGTTGCTTGTATAGAATTGCATTGTTATTTCTTTTGCGTGTTCTAAACAAACACAAACCCTTGCATCTTTTGATTTAGCTTAGTCATTTAAACTCTATGATTATGTAATGTGTGAAATCCAATCCCTTGTGGTTCGACCCCTAAATACTACAATTATATGTTGTGCACTTGCAACACTAGTTGTCTTAGGGAATTATTACTTGTACTCATCCCATAGATGCCGCATCAAGTTTTTGGCGCCGTTGCCGGGGATTGCATCATAAACACTTGCATAGTCTTGTTTAAAACTAAGTCTAGATCTTGGTATTTTCGAATACTAACTTTTTCTTTTAAATCTTGTGTTTATAGGTACTTGGAGATGAATCACAACACCAACATCCACTTTGGGAACCGGACACTGATCCCACACGATCTCCACGGCCGGAGTTACCAAGACCCAGCCGTAAGCATCGTGCCACATCCGTTCCCTCCCAACCGCGCTCATCCGACGTTTGAAGGACCTAGCCGAGACGAGCATCATTACCATCATCATCAAAACCGACCTCCGGTTTATCATCAACCACCTAGACCAGTGTTGCATTCACACCACGACCATGTTCTCAATAGGCGGAGAGATAGCCATTTCGATGCCGTGCTTGAGGGTTTCATGGAGAGCCAAAGAAAAACTAGCCGCGACATTGAGACAAAGCTAGAGTTCACGCGATACGAACTAGATGGAAGACTTGGAGAACTCTCTACCCAAATAGAGAGAGTAGAGTCAAGATGCTTGGACATGGAGGAAGATTTGAAGAAGCAAGGCGAGGCCATTGAAGACAATAGGAGAGCGATACACTTTACCAAAGTTTCTACCAAGGAGATGGACAATCACTTAGATGAGAAGATCACAAGTCTTGATAACAACCTCGATGGCACCACCAAGAGTCTCAATTCAATAACAGCAGTAGCTCATCAAGCTAAGAGGGAGGTAGCCGAAGTACACCCTAAAGGAGAGGCAATGTTACTCGACGATGCTTACATTGGTGGAAGGGCAAAAACAAGTGAAGGCACAAATCCGAGATTTACACATCTCTCTAGACAAGAGGAGCCAAGATATTCAAAGAAGAGCTAGAGGGCTTGAAGACAAAGTAGATGGAGTCTCCAAGGAAGTCAAGGATTTAACCACTCGCTTAGCCAACTTGGAAGAGAAGGTCTTGACCGAGGCAAAGACGACCGTTCCTAAGCACAACCATGCCGCGCCCGTCTTTACTATAAGAGAGACCGACCCAAGAGTGATTTGGGATGAAGAAGAAAGTAGAGCTGATCAAGAAAGAGCCACAAGCTAACCACTGGAACAAGAGAGAAGATAGCACCAAAAGGAAGAACCCTTACTCAAAGGTCTTCACAACCGCCTCCCACCAAGGAGAAGAGGAAGACAAGATCATCACTTGAAGAGATCATAGATGATTTCAACTTTATGGCGAGGAGATTCCCTTATGGTGTGCCGTTTGATAATGCTTGCAACAAGAGTCCATTCATGCAAGACCTAGCTTGGACACAAGATTGGAGTCTAGCTGAAATGGAAAAGATGTACGAGGAAGCAAGAAAGGGGATGCCTAAACCTAGGTTTCTACACAAGCTTCATGACCCAGGTTACTTCCTTATACATTTCTCTATCAATGGAAGCTACTTTGATGATGCTCTTTGCGATTCCGGTTCTAGTGTGAACCTTATGCCGGCCGAGATAGCCAAGAAGTTGGGATTGATCAATTCAATTGTGAAATCTCGAATGGATTTAAAGCTAGCTGATTCATCATTGACCGAACCACTTGGAGAGGTTAAAGACATTCAGCTTGATTTTGGAGGCTGCATAGTTCCAGCCAACTTCTATGTAGTAACCATGAAGGATCCGGAGGACTTAAAGCTTTTGCTTGGAAGATCATTCCTAGCCACAGCTGGAGCGATCATGGATTGGCCTAATAGAAGAATCTCTCTAGCCAATGTTGACAAGGACACCTTCTACGATGCTGCACCTCCCGGTTTCTCATCCAAGCGATTTCGCTACACAAGTGGAGGAGAGTGCTCACAAGTAAGAGGAGAGTCGCATGGCTACTTGATCAAGGAAGTTCTACAGGACAAGATGCACTTGGAATCATCAGGCAACAGGAAGTTCTTGGAGCCACCAATCCTACCTAACTAAGAACACAAAGGAGTCGAGCTACAAAGACTTAAAACAAGCGCTTGTGGGAGGCAACCCACATTTTCTTATCCCTTCCTCTTTTTATTTTTGTTTTTATTTTTATAACTACTTATTTGTTCTATTTATAACTCTTAAATTTTTGAGAGTTTAATAAATTTTACAAAAATAAAATAAAAAGTGTTTTAGGAAAAAGTACCAAAAAGGAGGCTTACATGAAAAATGCATTGGAAAAGCTACATCGCCACGACTTGACCCAAGGATCAACCATCTTTGGTCTAAGTGTGAAGCATTGAGTCTAGTTTGAGTCCCACCCAAGTCCCACCCATGTTTCAAGAAGCAAAGAATCCAAGAAGGGCCGCGGCACAATAAAATCCGGCCATTGGAACACTATTGCACAAGGCAAAGGTAAGTATCACTCCATTCTTACTGTCATTTCTTTTAAACACTATTTCTCTCAAATTACACATAACACTACTTGGATTTCTGATCAAGATCACAAGTACATATGGTTTCACGATCAAGTCTTTGATTGGGAAGTTCAAACTATTTTGAACAACTCAATCATTGACAGAGTTTAACAAAGAGTTACTAGTGTTTTTCAGATATAAATATGACAGGAGAACCGGTTCAAAATATCATACAAACATGGCGCGCAAAGGAGCCACAACCGGCCAAAGGAGGATTTACATGCCAAACATGAGAGATGAGGGAAATCCAACCACAATTCAATCCAGGAGGGATAGAAAAACAGTTCGGTCGAAGCAGAACTCAATTGGCCCGAGTAAATAAGGAGATATCAACATCACAACCACTCTCTCGGCCAGAATCGACGAACCAAGCGACAATGCTCGACCATCTCCCAAACGGCACGACCGAAGTCCACCAAACTTCACAGGCGACCTCAAAACATCATTTTGGTCGGCAAATCCAAAAGATAGGACGAGAAAAGTGCCTGCTACGTGAGATAGACGAAGAAGCTCAATACGGCCGACGGCGATGCATAGAATGGCCGACGAACTCAAAACCTCAAGAAGGCGCGAACACCGGTGGAAACTGATCCTCTGGAGTCCAAAAAACACCAAGGAAGAAGAAAGGAAGGAGACGATCGAACAGATAAGAGATGGCCAAAGGAATCACATCCCGAAGCCATTGGCGCGCACGACGAAAGATCTCCGAATCCACACGTTCAAATCGCCTCAAACTTCACAAGGAGCCACAAAACATAAGGTTGGTCGATGAAATTCATTTCAGTACAATGAATTCCTTACAATTCAAGAGATGGCCGATGGAGTGAAATTTGGCCGATCGCGAGCAAGTAAAATGGCCGACAATCCAAATCACGGCATTTACCGCGGCCACCGGCTCAAATCACCTCCATCAAGCATCCACATCGCATCTAAAGAAGAAAATCCGGATTGGAACGAGCAGAATTGGAGAAGACCGAAGGAAGACGTTCCCGGAGCCAATTTGAAAATTTTTCAAAGGAGATCTCAAACCACTCGTTCAAACGACCCCAAACTTCACCAGTCGCCATATTATACAATATTGGTCGACGAAATTTCAAGATAGGTCGAGGAAATCTTCACGGTTCGAGCTGTAGTCCATACCATCACCATCCGGTCGACCAAAACGGACCAGTCTCGGCCAAAAAGGCGAAAAACAGAAAACCAAGGGAGAATTGTCACATTCATCCAACCAAATCCAACAGCTATGATGTTTGCACCAGTCAGTTCATTCCTGGAAGCAACTCAAAGCACAACCGATCTTCACATCAAAGGCCAAAAATTTGGGTACAATTTTCTACAAACTCTAACTTTTCCATTCTATTTATCATTACCTCTCTTAATTGGATTTTTCTTACACCGAGACGGTGCAAGTTAAGTCTGGGGGGATTACTAACAAGTTTGTTCTTTTTGAATTTTCATTGAGTCGTTTTATTGAGTCAAAATTTTGTCAAAGGATTATGACCTTATCTTGGATCTAACCATTGTTGTGCTAACGTTTAAGTGACCATTGAAGCAGTCTTGGCAATACATCTTACCACAGGGACACTATGAGTTGATCGATCTACCAAAAACGCCCACACCTCCAAGGACTTGAGAAGGATCCACTCTTGACTCCGCCCTTAATGAACTTAATCTTCTCAGCTAGGGGCTTGGCATACAAATGGCATGATTCCTCATCCTCTCCATCAAATGAAAAAGTCTTAGTGAGTTCGTGCTTCCCTCTCTCTCCCCTTCAAATTTAAAGAAAAAGCGTAAGGTCCAAGTAACCGGGGATTCGGTGGCAAACACCATCAATACTCGCGTCTATGGAAGGCCTATGAATCCAAGCAACCGGGGATTCGGTGGCAAACACCATCAATACTCGCGTCTGTGGAAGATCCAAGCAAAACCTCTATAATAAAGAGAAGGAGTTGAATAAAAAAATACTTCGCTACCCTAAAAAAGGGATGAGTCAACTCAAAGAAGTGAGAAGAGAGAGAGGAGAAACATGGAGTAAAAAGACAAGTGCCAAAACAAGGGGATGAGTAAGAGTCTAAAGCCGGCTGATCGATACTCCCTAGTTGAGACCACACCTTTAGAAATGAAAGGAGTCAAGGAGGGTGAATTGGATTGTCCAAAGAGAGGTGGGCCGCCTTGGAAAAATCGCAAAACTCATGGTATGTACTCTTGTTCTTAATTCAAATATTTGCCTTTACTACTTTCATGTGGATTACTAAAACCAAGCCAACCCGGATTTCCTAATGATTTGAGAGTTCTTGCGTTTTCAAACCTCTCTTCCTCTCTTAGTTTGCTTGGGGACAAGCAAAAGGCTAAGTCTGGGGGAGTTGATATACCCATATCTTTCATGTTTTTATCAAGGTTTTCACTATGTTTTTAATACAAATAATGTGGTTTTTAAGCCCAAGAGGTAGTTTTCTTGTATATTCTGGTTTTGAGCATCATTCAGGTCAAAATAGCAAAGAAGAGTCAAAATGGAGCAAAAAGAGTCAAATCACCAAGTTCCCAAGTCTAGAGCACCAAAATCTACATTTCTCGCTAAAGACCAAACCGGAGCATCCGAAGTACGACCGCATATTCATGCCTTCCCGACGTCCAAAAGTCATGATTCTTATATGGAAAGATAGATATTTGAGTCATGACCCGCGGCGAAGTGGAAAGAGGTCATTTGGATCACTCGTTGGACCGGAACTTATTTTCTACCAAGACATGTCCGACGAGCGCCTAAGTAGAGCCCATGGAGACTTTGATGGATCAAGAGGCCCGAGATACCGCGCCCAAGGCCTTGGCTCATCTTGACACTAGCATAACTCAATCCAGAAGCTTCCATTGGCCTGAACGCGGCCCATTCAAGAACTTGGAGAGCAAGCTCAAGCGGCTAAAGAGAAATGGAAACTTTCCTCTTCTGCGCGCGCTCAACTTTGCCGACCTAGACCCGCTCTCTACCTATATATACTTGCTTTTAGCCTCTTGTAATAAGAATCACCAGCCGCATAACAAGAAACACTTATTCAATAAAGTTCGGAGCCACTTAGGTGGTCTCCTTCTTCTTTCTTTTCTTCTTTTGCATTTGTATATAGCTTGCATGTTTCAATTTATATAGTCTAGAAGTAGAGATTTCTCCCTAAGGGTGAGGCGTGGTTTAGTCTATATTCCGCCGCCTCTCTCTCTAAGGATTCATGAGACTTCATCTACTATCTAAGACTCATTGTTGAATTATGGATCCTTCCAATGAGGACGTGATATAATGGCCATCGAAAATCGATTGTTAAAAGGGGAAACCCTATGGTTCTCCATCTTTATTTATGCTTAATGCTTGTTGCTAGAGTAGCTAACTAGTGACTTGATTTTAGGTTGATATACTCTCCAAAAGCTTGTTATATCTCCGGACACAATATTTGATGGGCAAATCGTTTTAGGCTACGAAAGTAGACCTAAAGAGTTTTGTGAACAATCATTACTTGGATGTAATGCATGTCTCACTCTACAATGACCAACGAAAGCTGAGCCCATTGGTTTAAGAGACATAGGGGATTGGAACCACGAAAGTGGAATAATCCTTCCTTAGTGTTTTGAGTTCAAAAGAATCGGATTTTAACAAACTTTTCAATCGACTTGGCTCATGTTTTCAAAAGAGTTTTCAATAGTTCAATAATGTTGCTTGTATAGAATTGCATTGTTATTTCTTTTGCGTGTTCTAAACAAACACAAACCCTTGCATCTTTTGATTTAGCTTAGTCATTTAAACTCTATGATTATGTAATGTGTGAAATCCAATCCCTTGTGGTTCGACCCCTAAATACTACAATTATATGTTGTGCACTTGCAACACTAGTTGTCTTAGGGAATTATTACTTGTACTCATCCCATAAGATGCAGCGATATCAGACGGTCGTGCGGGACGATCGGCCGTACAGTCGGATCTTGGGCAGTCGGAACGGTCGGGGTCGGATGGATTCGCGGTCGGTCCGGCGTGGTCGAGCGGATTGAGATTTGGCCGATGAGAATTCTCGGCCGGACGTGGGACGTTCTTTCCCGGCTCGGACGGATGCATCGGCCGTGGCACGCGGAACGGGTTGCGCGGCCGCGAGGCCTTGTTTCCCGGCTCGCGCGCTTTGGTCGTGCGCGGTGTAGCGTGGAGCGTTTGAAGCTTGGCCGACCGCGGGACAATGTTTCCCGGCCGGTCGGCCGGTCGTTTGGAACCTTGGCCGAGACTTCAGTCGGACGGATGTGAATTTGGCCGAGCGCGGAGCATTAGTTTCTCGGCCAGCCGGACTGCGCGGTTTGGGCGCTGTCTTCTCGATAGAGCCGTCTGGACAGTCTCCACTCTTTTGGTTGTAACTCCTTTTCTACTCATCCAAATGAGCCATTCCAGTTGCGTTGGAAAGTTAACTCAATCAGAGCACGCAGGGAACTGGTCTTGATGAAATCCATTGAGTAGATCTTTTTCTGGGCCCTCTTAAAGTTGGTGCTTGTGCATGGAGCTGCTTGAAGTGCAAATCCTATGGTTTTGCTCCAAAATGCATCATTTCACCTGTTTAGACTCTAGACACTATAAACATAGTAAAACTACCTTTTTAGATAGAAAACCTGCCAAAAACCATTAGAAAACAATGCTAAAACAGTATAAAAAGTAGGTAAATTAGAGGTATATCAAGGATCCAAAGCTAGCTCTCGCTAGTGGACTCAAAGTTACAAGCTTTCACAAGATCTAGTCTAAAAGTGCACAAGATCCCAACAACCAATCTCTTAGGTTGGGAATGTTTCTCTCTATCGCTAGCTCTCTTAGGCATTAACGCAAACACCTTCTAGGTGTACTAGCCTAGATTCGCGACTTCAAGTGATCAAGAAGAAGCCGAGATATAAAGCTCTAGCTAAAGAAAAGCTGGTCAAGGGAGATTAAGGAAGAGGTTAACAGGAAGCTAAAGCTCTGACCTTTCCTAATCTCACCCTCGAAACCTCTAAAGAACTACTCGCTACTCATACTCGAACCGAAAGCAAAGAGGTAAAGAAAGCTAGAAATCATCATTAAGACAAGATTAGCAAACTAAGTACTTCTTAAACTTAAAAGATTCAAAGTAAAAGCTTACAAAAGATCTCCAAGAACAAACTGTTTTTCTTGGAGAGAAACTGGTTACAAGATAAAGATTGCCTAAAAATTAGGTCTTAAAGGTTTATATAGAGAAGGGAAAAGTGTATCCTTTGGTCAACATTTTTGCTTTGACTTCACAGATGCGCGCAGCTTGAGCAACTTCCTCAAGCACTCTGTTTCCTTTTGCTCAAGGCTCTGTTCCGTCTTGCTTGTTTTGCCATCCGATTACTCCGATCTCCTTCTGGTCCATCTCCGATCATCACCTCCGGTCCCTCCTTCGCCATAAGCTCCGAATACCTGATAAATGCACCCCAAATGCAATGGAAATGCAAAATGCTATCCTAAAGGCTAAATGATCCTAAGTAGACTAAAGCTACTCTAAATGTTATGAAATGGGACTCAATTATACACAGAACTATGCAGTATGAGAGGCTAAATGTATGCAAATGTTGAGTACATCAACACCCCCACACTTAGTCTTTGCTTGCCCTCAAGCAAACATCAACCAAGCATAAGAGTGTTCTCTGAGCAATAGAGTCAAGTGAAAGCCGAGAAGAGAAATTGAATCAACAACCTAGTTCCAAGGTCTAAAGCGCAAAAGATGTTCTCTACTTCAAAAATCTTAGCCGCACCTTCATAATTACAATCAATGACAACTAGCTCAACCTAAACATGCATTCAAATCCTCTACTCCTTTTAACATTCATTAAAGCTCAAAACAGTGAATCAAAACACATGCAAGTCAAGTTAACTCGTTTGGCCATGGAAAGAGAGAGAGCAAATCACAATGCAAGCTCATGTCAAATGACAAAGGAAGGGTTCTCTCAAGAAGAAGTGAAACAGCTTCGGCATAATGCTAAAGGCGAGAACCAATTGGGAGGTACAAGGACAAATGATCATCTACCCGAAACCCCAAGTACCTTTTGGTGACTCTCAAATCCGAAACTTCCTATTTCTACCCTTTCCCTTTGGGTTTTTCCTTTTTTTTCTTAGAGCTTTTTGAAACTTTTAGCGAATTTTTCTAAGGCTTTTTGAAAGATAAACTCGAGAGACTTGGTCTAAACTCTTGCCCTAACCCATCTTTTCCTTTTGAAACTCTTTTTCTTTTTTTTTTTTTTATTTTCTGATGGGGGCTTTCTTAAACTCACAGACCAAGCTCTTAATCTACCTTAGCTGAAACGCTTCTTTTCTTTTTGCTCACAAGCTCTTTCTTTCTTTTTCTTTTTGAATCCCCCCCAAGACATTCCCAAACCCAAGTCCTAACCTAGTCTGGCCCAAAAAGCGTGGACCAGAATCTACATGATCACCTATCCTTGTCGGCTCAAGACCTAACACTTTATGCCAAGCTTTTTCAAAAAGGCCTCACAACACACAAGAACAACATTTGGTTTGAAAGGAAGGGTTGGTTAAGGGCAGGGAGTTCTACTTGAATCAACAAAGAAGGATGAACAATAATGCAAAGATGATTCAAGTATGTATAATCCACGAGTTGAACTTAACAAGCATGAGCATGATAATTGATGTTCAGGTTCAGGTTTCACTTAGACAAGGAGCAGATTCAAATCGCAATGCATTCGGTTTTACTAAGACAGTCATGATGCTTTTTGATGATGCGGTTCTACCTTAACTTCAAGAACTATCAAAAGCGCCAAACAACTTAGAACTAGGGCACTGAAGCAATTCCGCAACTCAATCAATCAGCTCAACAAACATTGCTCAGATGCAAATGAAATGATCTTAACTACATGCTCTGTTTTTGGTTTTTTTTTTTAGCAATGCAAAAATGAAAATTTTACATGATTTTCTAAAGATGTAAATGCATGAGACTCAAAGGTTATGCAAAATATAAAATAAGAACATAAAGCACTTCGTCAAATACCATTGACCCTCTCCCCCACACTTAGTTCACACGGTCCCTTGTGTGATAAGAAGGCGGAAGAGAGAATCAAAGCAAAAGATAAGTGAAAATAGAAAAGAAAAATGCATGCTATTTACATGGTTGGGGTTCATACCTCTCAGAAAGAATCTGAGGAGGAGGATGATGTGGAATCACCCTTTGGTGCTCGCTTGAGGTGACTTCGAGGCCTTCCTCTTCCTGGTTGAGGTCTCTGCCGTTTGGAATTTGGAGGAGCCTTCATCACCTTCTTCGGAGTCCTCGACTACGTCGTCGTCATGATAGGAACCGAGGTGTATCGGAGGAGTGTTGTCGGAGTCGTGGCTGGGAGACTTGCTCTTGCCCTTGGTCAGCTGCTTGATGCGCTTCCCCATCTTCTTCACGGTCTTGAGGAGGGACTTGATCGCTTTGTCCTGGAACTGGTTCCAGGCTTTTAGCGTGTTGATGCTCTCAAGTGCGGTGTTAGCCGCTGACTTCCTCCCTTTGATCTCGTGGTTCTTGAAGTGGAACTCTCCGGTTTTGTAGTCCATGAGGTTCTCCTCGTCGCCTGAGCTCTCACCTTCGCCAGCTGCTCCAGGGTGAGCGTAGTCTTCCTCCTCTTGGCCTTGCTCGAGAATGGTTCGATAGGAGGCTCAAAGTCTATGTTCTCCTGACCGTGATGTAGGTCAAGGGTGGTTTGGCAGGAAGAAACTCGCCAGCCCGGTTCAAACTGCCTATAGGCGAACTGATAGTTGTGGCGTCCGCTGATGGGTTGACCGCGAAGGTAGGTGCTCTTGCGGAGATACTGGATGTTTATCGCCTGAGGATCAACCGGCTTCTCAAGCGTGATTCCCAGTTCATGAGGATCGGCGTTATGAGTCCTCCACAACTCAGCTGACCACTGCTTGCCTTGTGCACTTTGTTGAGAGAGAGAGCATACTCCCTGTAGCTGAGGAAGCTCTTGAGAAGATACGTCGCCACGCTGTTCCCTGATCTGTCCCCGACCATCTCAGTTCCATCCGGCAACGTGTGAATCACCTTCTTCATCCCTTCATTTAGGAAGAAGAGCTCCTTTTCGGTGACACCAGTAACGTCTCGCCTCACATAGATGGTGTGAGCGAGGGCCTTGTGGACGTATCGGAGCACGGGGTTCCTGATGTGTGTGCTCTTGGCAGTGCTAGCATGTACTCGCCAACTCCGATCATTGCCCAGAAGGCTTGAAGCTCTGCTTGTGGCGTTCCAGGCTCTGTTTCTCGCCCATCTTTGTGTTCAAAATGAAACACATCCTCCAGCTCCTTGAAACTCATCCGGTACTTCCTCTTGTTGATTCGGAAGGAGAACCTTCCACTTCCATGACCCTCAGGCACGATCTCGTCAGGCTCGTAGAAGTTAACTCGGAGAGTGGAGAGGAACTCGATGGTTTCCTTCTGGTATGCAGGCAGAGGGTTCATCATCAGCCTCGCAAGCTGCATTCTCGAAGAGGTAGTGGCAATCCTGAGAGATCCCAAGTTCCGCCATAGCCGTCAGGTCAGGGTATCTCGTCCCGACGAAAGACATCTGGTCGAAGATCTCGGCGTAGTCCTTGCTCTTCATGACCCGGATCCGCTTTTCCTACTGCCTGAGCCTTCCTCTGTCACCGGTTTCTTTCCTTCCGCCTTCTCCGCCGCGGCTCTCGAGAGAGTTCCTCTTGTTGTGGACACCATTGTTCCTGTGGAACAAACAAAAACTCACAAACAGAGTAAGTTCTCTAGCCAAATAATGTCACTCGCAAGGCTTAGAGAAGAAACAGATCAAGCAAGTTGAGATTCGAGATAAAAATCAAAGCTTTAGACAGATCTCAACTAAAAAGGTCGATTAAAACCGGCGGTGAACTCAAATCTCGGAAAAACAGAGACATGCAAAACAGTTTTCAAAAATCCAAACTCAAAATCTCTCTTTCAACCTTAACCCGAAACAAATCTACCTCTACTAAGCGAAAATCAAAACCAAATCTAGCCAAAGTCGGAGAAATTACCGGTTGAGCGCAGAAAACGGTTTGAAAGTGAAGAAGAAAGAGCGAAATAGTAGAGAGAAAGATGGAGATTTTTCTTTTCACAAATCGGGAAAAAGGAGAAGTATGAAAGAGAGAGTTTGGCTTGTCTCGGTTTTGTAAAAGGTAAAGTAAGAGAGAGATGGGGTTGCGGAAAAATCGGAGAAGGATTTGGATTAAAACCGCTGTCAAATCACAACTTCCCCAATTGACTACTTTCTCTCTCCCACGTTCCTTTTTCTCCTTTTTTTTTTCTTTTTCTTTTCAAACCGAGACAAAATTCCGGATAAAACTCGATCAAAAACTGTTTTCATTTGGGCCTTATAAACAGGGAATGGGCTTACCTGGCAACGATTTTTGAGAAAACCTAAGTCTTTTCAAAAATCGTTGCATCGTTCTTCTTGATCAGTTTGCTCAAGCTTATCGTCAGGCTGACCGAACACTTCCTTCATCTATACACCTGAGCACTTATAAAACTAAAACAAGAAAGATTAAGCAAAAATAAATATATACAAAGATAACCATGGGACTTCCTCCCAAGTGAGCTTGTTTTGAGTCCCATAGCTTGACTTTCATAACCTTTTAGGCTAAGGGAGCGTCCGGAAGAGGAGTTGAGACTCCTTCTCCTTGAATGCGTTGGCCCAAATACGGTTTGAGCTTGTGGCCATTCACCGTGAACTCCTCGCCATTCTGGTTAAGCAAAGTGACAGCTCCATAAGGAAGGACTTCCTTAATCTCAAACGGGCCCGACCACTTGGACTTGAGCTTCCCAGGGAACAACTTAGCTCTGAGTTGAAAAGCAGCGCATATTCTCCAACCTTGAAGACCTTAGGCACAATTTTCTTGTCGTGAAATGCCTTAGTCCGTTCTTTGTAAATCTTGGAGCTCTCATATGCGTCCAGCCTGATCTCTTCCAACTCATGTAAGTCGAAACCCCTCTTCTCTTGGGCAGACCTGATGTCGAAGTTGAGCAGTTTGATTGCCCAAGAGTGCTCTGTACTCAATCTCCACCGGAAGGTGACACGATTTCCCGTAAAGGAGCGAGAAAGGTGTCCTTCCTATTGGCGTCTTATAGGCGGTCCTGTAAGCCCAGAGAGCGTCGTCCAACTTAACTGCCCAGTCCTTCTTGGTGACTCCCACAATCGTCCTGAGGATCCCCTTTATCTGCTTGTTCGACACTTCCACTTGACCACTTGTCTGAGGATGGTATGGTGTCGCTACCTTATGCTTGACTCCATACTTCTTCAACAAGTTCTCGAAGACTTTGTTGATAAAGTGGCTTCCTCCATCGCTTATTACAACCCTTGGCACTCCATATCTCGGGAAGATGATGCTTTTGAACAGCTTGAGCACAACCTTGGCATCGTTCGTTGGGGAAGCGATTGCCTCGACCCACTTGGACACATAGTCAACTGCCACTAGGATGTATCTATTCCCATGAGAAGGTGGCTCAAAGGGGCCCATGAAGTCGATGCCCCATACATCAAACACTTCCACCTCAAGTATCGGGTTTTGTGGCATTTCATTGCGCTTGGAAATGCTCCCTTCTCGTTGGCATCTATCACACCTTGCAATGAAGTCGTGAGTGTCTTTGAAAAGGCTTGGCCACCAGAATCCGGCTTGAAGAACCTTGGAAGCTGTTTTGAAAGTCGCAAAGTGACCTCCGTAGCTTGATCCGTGACAATGCTCGAGTATTCCTTCTACTTCCTCCTGAGCTATGCACCTCCTAAACAGACCATCCGATCCTCTCTTGAACAGGTATGGTTCGTCCCAAAAGAAGTGTGAGATGTCCCTGAAGAACTTCTTCTTCTGGTAAGGAGATAGATCGGCTGGACCTCTCCACACACCAAGTAGTTGGCGTAATCTGCATACCAAGGCGCTTCCTTTTCCTCAACTGCCTTCAACTGCTCTAACCGAACTGCCAAACCTACGCTTTTCCCAGACTTTCCACCAAGAGTAGCTGTTCCTCAGGCAGAGTATCGTCGATAGGTGCGGTTCATTTACTCTCATCCTTGAGAGATGATCCGCAACTCCGTTCTCAACCCCTTTCTTATCCAAAATTCGAGATCGAATTCCTGGAGAAGAAGTATCCATCTCAGGAGCCTTGGCTTGGTGTCCTTCTTTGCCAACAGATGTCTAAGGCCGCATGATCAGTGTAGACTATCACCTTTGAACCCACGAGATAACTTCTGAACTTCTCGAACGCAAAGACTACTGCCAAGAGCTCTTTCTCAGTTGTTGCGTATCGTCCTTGGGCATCGTCCATGGTTCTGCTTGCGTAATATATCACGTGGAGCTTTCTTGTCTATCCTCTGGCCAAGCACAGCTCCCACGGCGTAGTCACTAGCGTCACACATGATCTCGAAAGGGTAGTCCCAGTTTGGTGCTTGCACAATCGGGGCCGTGACCAAGGCAGTCTTGATCATCTCAAATGCCTTAAGGCACTCCTCGTCAAACAGGAACTCAGTCTCCTTGCACAAGAGGCGTGTCAAAGGACGAGCTATTTTGGAGAAGTCCTTGATAAATCTCCGATAGAAACCAGCGTGCCCAAGGAAACTTCTCACGTCCTTGACTGTCTTTGGTGGAGCAAGCTGACTCATCACCTCAATCTTTGCTTGATCAACCTCTATCCCCTTTTCTGATATCTTGTGTCCCAAGACGATCCCTTCCCTGACCATAAAGTGACACTTCTCCCAATTGAGCACTAGGTTCGTCTCCTCGCAGCGCTTGAGAACCCTGCACAAGTTGGACAAACAAGACACAAAAGAACTGCCATAGACAGAGAAGTCATCCATAAACACTCAACAGTGTCCTCAATCAAGTCCGAAAAGATGACGTCATGCACCTTTGGAAAGTCGCCGGAGCGTTACACAATCCAAAGGGCATACGTTTATAGGCAAAAGTTCCATAGGGACATGTGAAGGTGTTTTCTCTTGGTCATTAGGGTGGATGGGGATTTGAAAGAATCCCGAATAGCCATCAAGGAAGCAATAGAAAGGATGGTTTGCCAACCGCTCAAGCATCTGATCGATGAAAGGCAGTGGAAAATGATCCTTCCTAGTCGCCGCATTGAGCTTTCGGTAATCTATGCACATTCGGTGACCGGTTATGGTTCTGGTTGGGATCATTTCGTCTTTTTCGTTCTTGACTACTGTGATTCCACCTTTCTTGGGCACACAGTGTACCGGCGAGACCCAAGTACTATCCGAGATAGGGTAGATCACGCCGGCGTCAAGCAACTTAAGGATTTCCTTTTTCACCACCTCTTTGAGGTTGGGATTTAAGCGTCTTTGGTGTTCAATAGATCCCTTAGATTCGTTATCAAGGTGAATGCGATGAGTACAAAGCTCAGGAGATATGCCTTTGATGTCCTCTAAAGAGTAACCAATTGCTCTCCTGAACTTCCTCAACTCATTAAGGAGGGAGGTTAATTGGGGTGGGGTAAGTTCTTGGTTCACAATTACGGGATAAGTTGAATTTGGTCCAAGAAATGCGTACCTTAGCCCATCTGGTAAGGTCTTGAGGTCCACCTTTGGGGCTTTGAGCTCGCTCCAGTCATCGTCTGAAGGTTGCTCGAGGTCGTGCTCTGCCTCTACCTTGTGGATTTCCTCAACTCTCACGGAGCGTCCTATGATTTCCTCAACCACGTCATTGGGAACAGTCCCTCTGTGGGAGTCTAAGAGTCGAGCATACTCCAAGGATTCGGTGTTGAAGTAGCTCTTTTCCTCCGCTTTCTCAGTCAAGGTTAGCTGAAGCTGGTCCTCTGTGGCTAACTCCTCTAGATACTCGTCTGCCAACTGATCCAAAGTCTCTACCCAGAAGAGCTGTCCATCAATGGTTGGTTTCTTCATCGATCTCTTGATGTCGAAGCTGAGCTTGAAGTCATCTCCAAAGTTTAGCTCAATCTTCCCTCTCTGAACATCGATGATAGCTCCAGCGGTTGCCAAAAAGGGCCTTCCCAAGATCAGCGGATCCTTGGGTTCTTCGTCCATCTCAAGGATAACAAAGTCAGTGGGTATCTCCACGTTTCCTACTCGCACAGGCAAGTCCTCGAGCATACCCACTGGGATGCGTACTGATCTATCCGCAAGTACCAAGGAAACGTCGCACTTTTGATACTTCTCGAACCCAAGCCTTTTAGCTACTGTGAGTGGCATTACAGATACGCCTGCTCCAAGATCACACAAGCTTCGGTTGAATGCCAGAGGACCAATAGAACAAGGAAGAGTGAAACTGCCGGATCTTCAAACTTCTTCCCAACCACTTTCCTAGTGATGATTGCACTACATTCCTGAGAAAGAACGACCATGCCCTGAACCTCTTTTCTTCTCTCGGTTACAGCGTCCTTGAGAAATTTCTGATAGGGAGGGATGAGCATACATGCGTCCAAGAAGGGCATTGTAATATCAATCTCCTTTATTTGCTTATCAAACAGGGCTCTAGCTTTCTCAAGCTGTTGTTTCTTGAATCGAACAGGAAAGGGAAGTTGCGGTTTGTAAGGAGGAGGAACGAAAGCTGGGGCTTTCTTCTTCTTTTGCACTTCCTCTGGTGCTTTCTCTTTCTCTTGAACTGGTGGTTCCTCTTCAGTCACAGGTGCGTGGCTTCAGTTTCAACTGAAATCTCCTCCTCTTGTTCCTCAATGTCCTCATTGACTGGTGCGGGTCCTGTTCTTGGAGGTAAAGCGCGTCCACTTCTCAATGTAATTGCTTGTACGTATTCCTTGGGATTCTGCTCTGCTTTACCCGGAAGTTGACCTTGCGTTCTGGATGAGGAAGCTGTTCCGCCTTTGTGTTCAAGCTGATGGATTCTGCTTGTGAGGGCTTCAAGCAACGGCGCCAAGTTGATAAGTAGGATTTTTGTATCAACTAATCTCAATCCATACCACTCATGTCATTGTAGTATTTGAGATGTCAATCCAAGTGGAGATCTAAACTATCGAAATAAAGAAAAGGCAAAGATCAAGTTTCGATAAAAGATTGGGTTTTGTTTTGTAAAGATCTATGCTTTAAGCTAACAAGATGAAATAAAGATTTAAACTTTAACAATAAGATAAAGGAGGCGTCTTGGGTGAGATTTAGTTGGGATCAAACGAGCTCAACCTTCCTTTCTCAACACACCAAGACTCAAGCTTTGTGCTTAGACTTTGGGTAAATCCGCCACTCTCGTGGTCAGATCGCTTTGCAAGCTGAGAATCCAAAGCTAGCTCTCGCTAGTGGACTCAAAGTTACAAGCTTTCACAAGATCTAGTCTAAAAGTGCACAAGATACATCCCAACAACCAATCTCTTAGGTTGGGAATGTTTCTCTCTATCGCTAGCTCTCTTAGGCATTAACGCAAACACCTTCTAGGTGTACTAGCCTAGATTCGCGACTTCAAGTGATCAAGAAGAAGCCGAGATATAAAGCTCTAGCTAAAGAAAAGCTGGTCAAGGGAGATTAAGGAAGAGGTTAACAGGAAGCTAAAGCTCTGACCTTTCCTAATCTCACCCTCGAAACCTCTAAAGAACTACTCGCTACTCATACTCGAACCGAAAGCAAAGAGGTAAAGAAAGCTAGAAATCATCATTAAGACAAGATTAGCAAACTAAGTACTTCTTAAACTTAAAAGATTCAAAGTAAAAGCTTACAAAAGATCTCCAAGAACAAACTGTTTTTCTTGGAGAGAAACTGGTTACAAGATAAAGATTGCCTAAGAAATTAGGTCTTAAAGGTTTATATAGAGAAGGGAAAAGTGTATCCTTTGGTCAACGTTTTTGCTTTGACTTCACAGATGTGCGCAGCTTGAGCAACTTCCTCAAGCACTCTGTTTCCTTTTGCTCAAGGCTCTGTTCCGTCTTGCTTGTTTTGCCATCCGATTACTCCGATCTCCTTCTGGTCCATCTCCGATCATCACCTCCGGTCCCTCTTCGCCATAAGCTCCGAATACCTGATAAATGCACCCCAAATGCAATGGAAATGCAAAATGCTAACCTAAAGGCTAAATGATCCTAAGTAGACTAAAGCTACACTAAATGTTATGAAATGGACTCAATTATACACAGAACTATGCAGTATGAGAGGCTAAATGTATGCAAATGTTGAGTACATCAACGGCCAACAAGTACTCAACTCCTTTGCTGTGGAGTGTGGTGAGAGTTAGAGCATTTTCACGCCTCTTCATGAACCAGTGGCTCAGCTTTTCTCTGATAAACTCTAAGAGAGAAGGTAATGGATATTCCTTCGCTTTCTTGACAGCAGAGTTGATTGACTCCGCTATATTGCTAGTCTTTATGTTGAATCTTTCCCTGGGCAATGCACTCGGGACCATAAGGCCGGGTTGGCTTCTCCAAGTATGTTGCAAGAGCAGGTTTTGCAGCTCTGATTTGGTCCATATACCAGTTGTATGTATCAAGGTTGTGCGCATATGCCGCACCTTTCACCATATACATGATATCCTTTGCATGGTAAGTTCCGATGATGTTATTCTGCATATGGTAATAGCAAATCCCTCTTGTTGCCCATGGGAAGACAGTTTCAATTGCGTTTGCGATAGCTGGGTGTCTGTCAGAGACAATGACAAGTGGGAAGTCCTGAGTGAAGCAACCCTTCAGGTTATTCATAAACCACCCCCAAGACTCATTATTCTCGGCATCTACGACAGCAAAAGCCAAAGGGAAGACTTGAAAATTACCATCTGCCCGGCTGCGACAAGAAGTGTACCACCATACTTCCCCGTCAGATGAGTCCCATCAACAATAACCACTCGCCTGCAGTACTGAAAACCAACCATGCAAGCTCTAAAAGATATAAAGCAGTACTTGAAGCGATCAAGTTTATCCCGGACAAGGTCGGTAATAGTTCCAGGGTTTGCTTCCTTCGTTCTATGCAAGTATGAAGCCAAGTTCGCATACCCGTCTTCAGGTGTCCCTCTGACGTATTCATGAGCAGCTCTCAAAGACCTGTATGCTGTCGTATAGTTCAGCTTCAAGCCGAACATCACTTTCATGGATATGACGATGTGTTCAGGCACAATTCCCTCGATAATCCCAACCCTCTCTATGAATAAGGCGCCGATATATTTTGGTGTGCAGCTTTTCCGGTTCGCTACTCGGTCTGCGACAGAACAAGTATGAGTACTCACATACTTTGTGACGAAAAACGCGATTGCCTCGTTCTTCAGAGACGCCCTAACTCACCATGCACATCCGTTTACGTTGCAAGTGGCAACAAAGAGAGCTGGTGAGGACTTGAAGACACGAAACGAGAATCTGTGCACTACAGCCATCAATCGACACATATTTAGAAGTTCATCCTTGCTTGCAAAACGCTGTCCAACCTTGATAACGGCGTCCCTATACTTATCAAAATGTCCTCCTTCATTATAGCAGCGTCCTTTGAGCCGGATATCATCAAGCGGAACCTTTTTCTCGCGCACATCTTCGTCTGGGACTCTGCCATACTCACTATAATCAGCTTCTGCTTCATCAATCTCACCATTGGTCCAATCGGTTGTTGGTCTTGGTTCATCTACGGGTTCATCGTCTGCATCATCGTATTCGTTTGCCTGTGCATCCCAATCTTCATCATCAGTAGACAAGCCCCACTCGCTATCCGATCCACATTATACCAGCAGGTAAATCGCTTTTTGCAGTATTCATCCGCTTGCTCGAGACACTCAGCCGTATAACATGCAGTCGACTTAGTTCTACCAAGACTTGAACTTGCCTATCAGTCGTTACAAACGTAGGAGGAGAATCCATAGGCACCCCCTGGAGCATATCAGGTGGAAGTGGGTACGAAACCTCCATAAGCTCAGAATTCGTATCAACCCCATATTCATCTTTTGCCATTTCAACAAGCTCGCCATGTGTACAACCATCTCTCAAGGAGAACAGTCGACCTCCCTTGTCATCATCCACTACAAAGAACCAAGTCCCTTGCTCTCTCTTCTCCCATTTTCCGTAAACAGCAGCTATGTACACCATCTTCTGCAAAAGAAAAATCGCCATATAGACATAACACAACGTCAGTGAACGATCAAAAGTAGACTTCAATGTGTAATCAACATGTAAACTTCATTATACAGTCTACTACATTTCACCTAAACTCCCCCAAAAACTAAATATTTGATTACTTTCAAAATATACTGATTAAGCAAGTCAAATTGTTACACTGGCAAATAGACAGATAAAAACAACTTAGTGTCCAAGAAAATCTTTAAAATTAGTTATTCATGTAGCACAAACACCTAATTTACAATACTGTAATAAAGTAGATTTCATGTTGAAATCAACATGTGGACTTCACCAGAAAGTCAACATTAGGGGTACACCAACTGCAAAAATATTTTGTGAAGTCTACAATGGAAGTCAACAATTAGAGGGGTATACTTTTGCAATTGACCAAATCATGACTTTTTGAAGTAGACTTCTTTTCTAAAAGTAGACTTCAATTTGAAGTCAACAATGACAAGTAAACTTCAATCGGAAGTCAACAACGAGAAGTAGACGTCATATTGAAGTCTACTACCAAAAGTTGACTTCATAAAACAATGTTTGCAGTTTGTGTACCCCGAGTTACTATTCATTCGTTGACCAGTTGACTTCTTTTTGAAGAAGTAGACTTCGCCAGGTAGTCTGCAGTCTAAAAAAGAAGTCTACATCAAAAAGTCGTGATTTGGTCAATTGCAAAAGTATACCCCTGCTGCGTAGACTTCATGTGTAGACTTGATAGCCGAAAGTCGTCGTCAAGTCAATTGCAAAAGTATACCCCTCCCGAAAAATAGACTTCACAATGAAGTCTACACATGGGGTCCGCCTTTTTTTGTTCTCAAAGGACTACTGTAGACTTCTCAAGGAAGTCTAAAAATCCAAAAAAATTAAAAGTAGTTTGCAGTTAGTGTACCCCGCGTTCACCTGTAGACTTCATCTTGAAGTCTACAACGCGCCGGAGATCTGAAATTCACGAAAAACGAACGGAAAATCACCTTGATTTGCTGTTTGGTTGCGTCGACGGCGGATTGGTTCGATTTAAACCTTCAGCGGAGAAGCCCAGCCGTTGCCGTGAACTTCGTGACTGGAAATGGCATCAGACAAGAACTTATATTTTTGAGAGATGGATGATAGAGTTTTTGTGATGAAATTGGGGGAATAAGTTAGAGAAGAAGGTTACAAGAGCACATTGTGTGATTATGGTGGTGTAAAAGAGAAGAAGAAGCATTAAAAACCTTGGATATGGTTAAGAATGGTTGTTGGGTGAATTGAATTTGATGGCATTTCTGTGAATAAATGAAGGAGATGAGGTTAGTTTGGAAATTAGTAATTTCGAAAAAAAAGGAAAAATAGAAAAGATGATGGCATTTTGGTAGATATGATGAGAGGGAAAGGATGATATAGAGAGAAAGAGGTGTAAGTATTAGAGGGGTATACCAAAATCATTGACTGCAATTTGGGGTCTACTTTTGCAAACACCCCATATATTTTCTAGTGTATTTGTGGCAACCTGAAACGTGTTAAAAATTTTGATAGTTACTTTCATTGTTCACTACATGCAAAAAAATTAGTATACCTCTAGCATATCATGTTGATTTACAGTCTGGATATATTCTTATACTGCATTACAACTTTGTCAAAACTTCATGGTCGTTTAGTTTGATGATTAGAATCTTTAGATATCTTCATTTGACAAAATTCGGCATAAAATTGTATGTTTATATCGTAGATATCTTCATTTAACAGAACTTGGTATAATAAATCTTAGATATATTTATATGTTTTGTCCATTGCTTCATAAATTCGACATAAGAACATATCCAAAACATTTCCCTTTCCATAGTATGACAACATGTTAAATCTGAACCAAAACTTTTTCGGGTGAGTTGAATTAGAATCTTTTGAGAAATAACCTTATAGTTTCTGTTGTTGTTACTGGCCAAGAAATTTGAATTAATTTAGACTACACCAGCCTTTTGCTTTGGGTAGTCACAAAAGGAAACTGCATTTCTGATGAGGTATTGTTTCTTCGTTTTAGCGTTTAAATTCGTTTTGCTGACACTTAGAGTCGTTGTTTAGGGTGATTGTCTCAAGTTTTGCATATTTGCAGTCATTGTGACACTTTCAAAGTGAACTTGCATTATGGAGGAGTTATGGAGAGAAGCGGTGATAGAATGAGTTACATTGGAGGAGCTTTGAAGCAGGGCATTGTCGTTGATCCTGATTTCATAGACTGTTTTGATGCCTTCTGTGTGGAGTTTTCGATAGAAGGTGGTTTAGTGGAGTGAGTTTGGTGGAAGCTCCATCACGGGAGCATGGATACAATGAAGAGTATTGTTGTCGTGGGATCTGACAAAGAGCTTATGGGAATGTGTAGTCAAGCTATGTCAACTTCTCGTGAAGTTGATGTGTTCATCGAGCAAGGTAATGTTGTGCTTAGGCGCACCGAAGAGGAAAACGAAAAAGATGGTGAGAAAGATTGTGAGCATTCTGCTGAGGAGCATTTGGAGCAGTCTGCTGCTGCTGAAATTGAAAGCGAGAAGGCACCTTCTGCTGAGGAGAATGAAAGCGAGAAGGCTCCTTCTGCTGAGGAGAATGAAAGCGAGCCTGCTGAGAATGATCACGAGCCTGCTGCAGATGAAAGCGAGAAGGATCCTGGAAATGAAAGCGAGAATGATGGTGCAACGTGTGCTGATGAAGATGATGATAGCGAGAAAGAGGAAGCTTTGAGGGAAGCTAAGAAGAAAAAGAGTGAAAAAGGTAAACATAAGGTTTTAAAAGATGAAGAAGATATTGGTGCGCGATATGATATGGAGATTGAGGATGATGTAGCTAGTTTTGTTGATGAGGAAGTAGATTTTAGAAGGATAATTCCAGAGAGTTCGGATAGTGAAGAAGAAGATGATTTGGATTTGAGAAAGAGACGAATGAGGAGACATGATCAGGTTGATAAGTTAGCTCTAGGAGCTACTTTCTGGTCAGGTTATGAGTTCAAGGAAGCCGTTTTGGATTATGCTTTGGCAAATTCAAAGAATATTGAGCAAAATAGATGGGATAAGACAAAGATTGGATACAAATGTGGCGAAGGTGGAAAGTGCAAATGGAAGCGCTATTGCTCGTATGATGAGCCGCATGGGAAATGGGTCATAAAGACAAAGTGTGGATATCACAGCTGCACGCCTAAAGGGAGATGCAAGATGCTTAAATCTCCAGTCATTGCAAAGCTTTTCTTACACAAGTTGAGGCAAAAGCCTAACTTTTGGCCTATGAAAATGCAAGTGTTTATCAAATAAAATTGGAGACTTCAAAGTACAACGAATCAATGCCAGAATGGAGGGTTGCTTGCTCTGAAATGGCTCGAGAGAGAGTATGAGCAACAATTTGCACATATTCGTGGATATGTCGAAGAGATACTCAAGCATCACGAGAAAACAACGGCCATTGTTGATACATATCCGAATGCAAAAAAACAGGATGTCTTCAGTCGGTTTTCTGTTTGTTTTGAGAAGCTTAGGACCAGATGAAAAAGTTCTTGTGTCCAATCATTGGGGTAGATGGAACCTTCTTTAAAGGCACAATGAAAGGGACTTTGCTTATAGCGGTTGGACACGACCCTAACAATCAAATCTATCCGATTGTTTGGGCTGTGGTACAAGCTGAGACAGGGGACAATTGGTTATGGTTTATGAAGAACCTAGAGGCTGATTTGGGGTTTGAAGATGGCAGTGGATATGTCATCATTTCAGACAGATGCAAGGTAAGTTAAACTTAAAACTTCTCAGCTTTCTTCTCTTTACAGCTTCATTTGTTTTATACACTTTGTCCTAACAACTGTGATGTTTTTTTTTAAGGGACTATACTTAGTTCTGTTAAAGCCGAGTTGCCAAATGCAGAGAGAGCATAGGTTTTGTGTGAAGCACATCTGTGTGAACTTGAAGAAGAACCATACAGGGAAAGACTTATTGAAGAAGCATATGTGGAATGTTGCTTGGAGCTGTAATCTGACTGCATACTGAAAGAATCTCCAAAAACTAAAAGAGTATGATGTGCCTCTGTTTGAGGATGTTTTGAGAATGGAGCCAAGGAATTGGACAATAGCTTTTTTCAAGCTTGGTAGCTTATGTGACAAGGTGGAAAACAACTCAACGGAATATTTCAATGCGACTATTACAAAGGCAAGAGGTAAGGCCATAATACCAATGCTTGAGACCATTAAGAGGCAAGCAATGGTTCGAAATGAAAAGAAACAGAAGAAGGCTGAAAGATGGGATGGTAGGTGTACAAAGTATGTCAAATTGGTACTCGCTGAGCTGAAGGAACACGCTGACAAATGTATGGTTAGTCATGGGAGTCATGGGAACTACGAGGTGGAGCTTTATGATGATAAATTCCATGTAGACACGAGAAAGAAGACATGCTCGTGTTTTAAATGGAAAATCTCAGGCATCCCATGTGAGCATGCATATGGAGTGATGTTAGATGCTGGTTTAGCCAGTGATGATCATGTCAACGAGTGCTTCTCAACAACTAAACAGCGAGACTGTTACATTGATAATGTCAAGCCAATGAGAGGACCAGGTTTCTGGATGGCTGATATACCTCTATTTACACTTTTTATACTGTTTTAGCATTGTTTTCTAATGGTTTTTGGCAGGTTTTCTATCTAAAAAGGTAGTTTTACTGTGTTTATAGTGTCTAGAGTCTAAACAGGTGAAATGATGCATTTTGGAGCAAAACCATAGGATTTGCACTTCAAGCCGCTCCATGCACAAGCACCAACTTTAAGAGGGCCCAGAAAAAGATCTACTCAATGGATTTCATCAAGACCAGTTCCCTGCGTGCTCTGATTGAGTTAACTTTCCAACGCAACTGGAACGGCCTAATTTGGATGAGTAGAAAAGGAGTTATAACCAAAAGAGTGAAGACTGTCCAGACGGCTCTATCGAGAATCAGCGCCCAACCGCGCAGTCCGGCTGGCCGAGAAACTATGTTTCGCGCTCGGCCAAAGTCAATCCGTCCGTCTGAAGTCTCGGCCAAAGTTCAAACCGACCGGCCGATCACGCAATCACGACCCGGGAAACATTGTCCCGCGGTCGGCCAAGCACAACGCTCACGCCACGCCGCGCACGACCAGCCGCGCGAGCCGGGAACAAGCCTCGCGGCCGCGCAACCCTTCGCGTACCACGGCCGATGCATCCGTCCGAGCCGGGAAAGAACGTCCCACGTCCGGCCGAGAAACCATCGGCCAAATCTTATCCGTCCGACCACGCCGGCCGACCGTGAATCCATCCGGCCACGACCGTTCCGACTCGGCCCACGACCCGACTGTCCGGCCGATCGTCCCGACCGACCGTCCCAACGCCGCGGTCGACCCGAAGCCCGTTTTGAAGCCCGATTTCATATTTTCAAGCCCGGCTTAACCCTAAGCCGCCTCAAAAGACCTAGCACTATATATATAGCTTTTTAGCCTCTTGTGAAAAGAGAGCCGCCCTTGTATTTCGATTTCCTACTCTAAGTTTTATTGCAATCATGTTTTCTTCATCTCTATGTGTGTTTGCTTTGATCATGTCTGAGTAATCCACTAGTTAGGTTGCTAGGGTTACTATTCAATGAGTTGCTTGCATGATCTTTGATTTCAATGATTAGCTAGGGATTATATTAGAGTCTTTGTCTCGTCTTGTGCACTTAACTAATGCTGATTGCTTTACCGCGCATCTAGTAATCCGATCTTAGGTTGATTTGAGCCTCGACAGTGTTGTATCATTCGCCGGACATATTCTTTGACAAGCTAGGTTTCTTAGACTGCGAAAGTTGATCTACTATATCTAGTGAACTGTATCAGAACCTATTCATTCTAAAGCTTGATTTAATCACCTAGGGACATACCAAAAGTTTAGCGACTAGGTAGATTAACAAAGGAGCCGGAGCCTCGAAAGTGGAATGGTTTTATATTCGTGATCTGTGTTCTAGATGGTTCTTAATATCCCAATATCCCTAATCAATTAATCTATCATTGTTTCATTGATCATTGCTTGCTTCTCTGCGATAGCCCCTATGACCTAGCGCTTTTCCTTTATTGATTTACAACCTCGTTATACTTGCTAGTTCGGTTCACCATTACAACCTCAATCATACTTTTGTTTTAGCTTGATCCAAAATCCATAGTT